AGGAGGAGAAGGAGGGGAGGAGGAATGCCCCAGGAGGAGGGGGGCCCCCAAGAACGGGCCCCAGGCCAAGAGGCAGGAGGAGGGGGAGGAGGAGGAGGAGGAGGAGGAGGAGGAGGAGGAGGAGGAGGAGGAGGAGGAGGAGAGGAGAAGATGGAGACGAGGAGGAGGAGGGAGAGGGTGAGGAGGAGGGAGGGAGGAGTAGGAGGAGAGGAGGAGGAGGAGGGAGGAGGAGGAGGAGGAGAAGGGGGGGGAGGAGGAGGAGAGGAAGGAGGAGGGAGAGGGGAGGGAAAAGGAGGGGGAGGAGGAGGAGGAGGAGGAGGAGGAGGAGGAGGAGGAGGAGGAGGAGGAGGAGGAGGAGGATGCGGAGGAGGAGTAGGATGAGGCAGGAGGAGGAGGAGGAGGAGGAGGAGGAGGAGGAGGAGGCATGGGTTGAGGCAGGAGGAGGAGGAGGAGAGGGAGGAGGCATGAGTTGGTGGGAGAAGGGAGGGGGCAGGAGGATATCCCCAATCAGTTTGAACATATTATGATGTGGGGTCCTACCGTCGGAGTATTTTGGTGTTCGTTTTTGGTCAAATGTTTGCCAGCGTGGCGTCGGGCTCAAGTAATGTTCTCTTGCATTCTGGACAAGGTATATATACACAGTCTATGTGGTGTACTATGTGTGGTTTACTCTATGCACGTGGTGCATGCTATGTGATTCGGCTATCTTCTGCAATAACTGTGTTGTATGCTACGTGTTGCTATCAATGCGGTGAAAGCTATGTGGTGACCTGATATTTACAAACGAGTTGGCAAATTCCACGCTCTTGCAAACCTCCCACCCGCCCACTCGCAGCTTGGTTTCTGAAACCCATGCGGCGGCGATTGCGATGAGTGCTTGGCGTTAGCTGGTGCATCTCTGCGGCCGCGCTGGCCCGCGCATGCTCGCGCGCACAGCGGCCAGCTAGCTTGGCGCGACCGACGCGGCCGCAGTGGCGCTGACCGCTGGGAGTTTCCCAGTGGGCACTTCATTGTGAGTCGGTGACTTGGGCGGGCGCGGTAGCATAGCGACGCCGACAGCGGTAGACACGATCGTGAGAGTAGCGATGGTGGTGACGATGGTGGCTATGACGACGGCAAGGCCAATGACGGCGCCGATGTTGATTACGCCCGCCGATGACGATGACGAGGTCCTCGCGTCGGCGATGAAGGTTTTCCAAGGAGTTCGACATGCGCGCGCGGCCGACGCGCGCGAGTGGCCCACGTGGTCGTATTTGACACGGCTCGTGCCCCCCCCAAGCACGCACGAAAGGGCGTTCGAATGAGTTCGGCATGCGGCGCGAGAGGCCCGCCTGGCAGCATTCGACGAGCATTTCGAAACAGAGGCTTATGGTTTTCTTACGAATCTCGCAGAACCGCGAGAGCATCGGGTCGGGCGAAAGGGGGGGATTGGGAAAGGGGGGGTTACGAAATTTGCTGCATGCAGCTGGTTTCGGCCTCACCGAAGGGCCAATTCCTCGATACATGGCCGCTCCCGGCGCCGGGAGGCGCCGGGAAAATCAGCTACGTGAGCTGATTCTCAAACCCCCCCTTTGCTATCCCCCCCTTTCGCCCGACCCGAGAGCAGGTTGTCTTGCTTTTGAAAATGGATGTTGCAAAACCATGTGTGTTTCATATGATTCCGGGACATTCGCGTTTGAGCATCCTGCGACACCTAAGATTTGTGAGAGATTCCGGCATGCGCGCGCGACGACGCGCGCGTGTGTTCGTGGACCTCTTGTTTGCAAGGGGTTCTTGCGGCAACACGCGCGCAAGGGCGTTCGAGCGATCCCGATATGCGCGTGCGAGAGGCCCGTTCGGTAGCATGCGTTGAAACGTGCGAAAACAACCGGCTGGTTTTGTTGATCAGTCGCAAAAGCGCGGGCGTTTTTTGTTGAAAGCCATTGTTGTGAACATTTTTCATATATGTTTTCGTGGCTCTCGATTTAAAAATCTTTACGCAGTACTATGTTTCTGGAGGATTTCGGCATGTGCGCGCGACGACGTGCGCGTGTGCACTCGTGTCTTTTTTCCGCAGAGGGATCTTCAACGTATCTGGTTTTTGACAAACGACTGCGCGCGAATAGAATGTTTTGCATTGGACGAGAGGACTGGGCCGAACTCCTGCGTGGGTGTGTTGGTATGAGTTCAGAAGGAAAATGAGCAAGGAGGCGGAATCATATGTACGTTGCAATGTGCCGGGCCGGTTTGGTAAGTCCGGGGGGGTGATGGGGGTACAATAAATTTTTGAAGGAAGGGCAATATCTGCTGCAAAATTGAGGCGGTGCGCCAAATGTGGCGCAAGTTACGTTGTGCAAGCTAACTGGTAGAATCTACGTGATGCATGCTATGCGGTGCCGTGAACGCCCCGCCAACGCACGATGTGCTCACGAGGCGTCAACGGGCGGTGACGGGCCGAGCGTCCTGAAAACCCAGTCAGCGTACTCGATGCGACCACGCGACAACTTGGAAAACTCGGCCA